AACCGCCAACCTTTCTGTTATTGAGTTCAGCAGCTCAGTGATTCTACCCGCTGCACCACTACGGGCTCCATTTGGGAAATGAAGACACCTGAATTCTGTTTTAGGACTGGTATCTTGCTGTGTCCAGTTTATGCTTTTGGTTTAGAGTGCTCCAAATATTATAATATTAATTATTACAACAGTTTGTAAGACAGTTCAGGATTTCTATCCACAATGTGAATGGGCTTCGGAGGGATCATGGCTGATCACTACACCAGCTCAGCATGTAACGATGCTTCCTAAATGGTGGTCAATTACTACTGGTGGATATGAACTCTGCTTATGGATAGAAACACTGCTATTGTAAATTTTCATTTCCCAGATCTAGGTTATAGTACTGTAATAGCCCCTTGAACTACAGTCTTGACACAAATAAAGACATGGCTGTTACTTGGACAGTGCCATGTATCTTCCCATCCTCATCCTTTCTCTCGGAGTGAATGAAGCTCAAAATTAGACCTATAAAAGGAAAAAAAGTCTCCATTTGGTGGAGGCTACTCACCGCAGCGTGATCTCTGAGCACTTGGCTAGGCGTTTGCCTGCACTCTTCAGTCCGGTGTAGATTTGCCCCATCTCGATCACACCCTCCAGGCCTACCACCTCCATCCGACAATCACCTAAGTCTGGAGGGAAATTAGAAGCAGAAGAGATGAATATACTGAAAATATCCTCATCATAACAAACTTTCCCTGGTCATTCCAAAAGTTACCTACAATATGGTCAACTTGGTTGTTCTAACCCAACCTGCCACCTAAAGAATCTGCCATTCCAGCTCTCAATTTCAGCTGCATAATTCTTACTCTTGATATCTACACAGCCTCCTGAATAATGCAACCCACCTGGTCCTCTTTCCTCTGCTCACCTTGTACACAGTTCTTTAGGATTTCAGCATCAGTGATGACTTGGGGCTGTGCTGCTCCGCCTGCTGTGCTTCGTGCTGCTGCCTCCCCCAAAGGTCTTTTGGTCTCACCCCAGAGGTTGGAGCCTCCATGCATGCTGGGAATGTTGAGTATAGCTATTCCAGAGAGCGCTCCACTGAGATCAATGGGCTGCCCACAGCACTAGGCAAGGGATATGTGTGGGAAAAGAAGTTAAGTTACTAAGTAACTGGCTGCTGAAATACAATTCCTACAACCTTGAGGAAGTGTTCAAAGACCGGAGCTCAGTAGAGGACAGAGGACAACATTATGAAGCTGTATCTCTCTAAATATCATCGAACTCCAGCACCCACCACTCCCAGCTAGTGTTGCCAATGGTCCAGGGCAATGGGAGATGGAGTCTCAACAACATCTAATGGCAACTGTGCTATAAGATGTAAGGTGGATTTTGAGATGCAAGGGTGACAGAAGAGAAAAAAGAGTAAAGATGTTTAAACTGACTGAGCTACTACTCTATGTGAAACAACAACATTTTTATATCCTGCCACCATCTCT